TTCTAGACGATCCCAACATCACAGTATGAATTCATTTTGAAAAACAGCGCGAATACCACACGGACAAGAAGGAGGAACACACAGGACAGCGCCTCGTCCTGTGTGTTCCTCCTTCTTGTCCGTGTGGTATTCGCGCTGTTTTTCAAAATGAATTCATACTAACTCGCCCAACTTTCCATTCTAGTAATCACAGTATGCTATACCGATGCGGCTCACTCAGATGAAGGAACAGCAATAGCATGGCATGTCCCTAGAGAGGAAATTACGAAAACGGAAACCGTTACCTGCGGCACAGCAAAAGAAGCAGAAGCCAGGGCCATTGCATCTGCGCTACAAAACATAGGAGAATCGTTACCGAGCAACTCAAAGATAATAGTCTTCACGGACTCGCAGGATGTCATCAGAGCATGCAAAACGCACCTCGAAACAAGCACTGTGATTAAAGACGTCCTAGTAACTGCCATTGAACTCAAGATGAAGAATGTTAAAACCTCCATAAGGTGGATTCCCGGACATGAGGGGATTAAGGGAAATGAGATCGTCAACGCTGCAGCCAGGGAGCTTCATCGTTCAAACCTCTGCTGCAGTGGCCTGACGACTTCCCACCCTTCACCAGGCAAAAACACCGGAGAACAGGGAAACCCCAGGCCTGGCATCTATGACCCAATAAGAGCCATCGACATCGCCAAAAATGCGATCAAGAAAAGGCTTGCACACAAGAAGAAAGAAGCAGAGCACGGAATGCCATCAGGATTCAAAAGGTATCAAACGGTTCGCCTGAGAAGGCTTCAAGCAGGATCAGCGATCACTCCGTCAGTCCTCAAGAAATGGGACGACAAGAAAAAAGCTCGCAAAAATCCAGATTTTGTTCCGGATCCGTACCAGTGCAAATACTGTAAGGAGCACACTCCTGCCGACATCCAACACCTCATGTGGGAGTGCAAACACCACGATGAGGCAAGACACACAACACTCGAACAACTCGAACCACAAGACCGACCACCCACGCTTCAAGATTGGCTCAACCCGGTCGGGGAGACTGCGAGAAGAAAAATCATCCTGGGCAGTGTCCTCAGCTACCTAGAGAAGACCGGCCTGGGAGACGACATCTTATTAGATTCTACCCGAATAGCCCAACATCCCCTCCGCCCTCTGGCCCTACCCTAGCGTAACTGCCAGTTGTATCTTTTGCCCAATAAACGTTTCTCATACATACATACATACTTCCACCGTACATCGGCGTTGCGCTTGCGCCGTGGCCAGATCGCTTGCAGTTGAAGGTTGCAGCAAAAACGAAACCAACTGCAATGTCACGTGTTCACATCGAAGACACGCTTTTTATATCCATTTTAACTGTTTGGAACGAATAATTAGACCCATGACTTTCTTTGTGCTGTGTAAGAAACTATTATCAAGACCCCTAAACTAAATGCAAACATGGGCGACGTGAGGGAAGCAGCATTGCCATCGACCAGAAAATGGCGGCGAGCACGGTAAGCGCGGGTTTCGCCAACGTCCCGCGACATGGCGTAATTGCTTTTCGTGCATATCTGTCTCCGAGACATGTTTCTTTCCGCGGCATTTGTCTCGACGGTCCTTTCTAAGTATGTCCCCAAGCATTCCGGTGCATCGATAGCCCGCAATGCCGCGGTCGTCGCCGGGGGCGATGCGTGTTATCGAGGTCGGCTACACGGTTGTGCGTGTATTACCGAACCAAAACACGTTTTTTACAGCCTCGCATGATTTCTGAACGTATTATCCGTTACTCGTCGTGTAAATTTATGGTAATTTGTGTAAATAGCGTGTTTTTCACCCCAAATATTCACCAAATACACGGGACTTGTTAACAGTGTACCCGACCAGCTATAATAACGCGGAGCCAACGGTTTGAACAACAAGAAACTACATTTAATTGGACATGGACGAGACGATGAAGAATATACTACTCGAAAGAGTAAAGCTATACGCACTCCGGAGTGCGCTTCGGACGGAAATGGCTATACGCACTCCGCTTTTCTCGTATAAAAAGAGTGGACACAACGAGTTCCCTAAGCGGTGCCATGGCATACGGGTAAGGTGTCCGCTTAATACGCAAGTGGACGCGAGTTCGATCCACGGTGGGCCTACTTTTTTTTTTTTTTTTCTCAAACATTTTGTTTTGTCGAGGCATTTGGTGATATTTACGACATTTCCTTTTTTGCGATGAACAGTAAAAAAAAAAAAAAAAAAAATCGAATGTTGTCGAGAAACTTTGCAGAACTAAATGGTATCGGACTCCCTTTCCGGAGGTGCGATCGGGGACAGCGGGGCTTGGATTGCCAGCTGGACGCCGCGAAGCGGCGTGTACTGGTTACGTTTTGTAATTAGCAGCCGATACTGTCGCCGCGAAGCGGCGTGAACGCAGGCGGGGGGATGTGTTAACGAGCTCCCCAGTGATTCACGCGCCGTTCGAAAAGGGTGGCCCGAGCGGCATGATCTCTCGGAGGAGTGAGTATAGCCATTTCCGCGCGAAGCGCACTCCGGAGTGCGTATAGCTTTACTCAATAGAAAACCAACGAGTACCGGCGGCGCTTGTGTCCAGCCAGCCTCTGCCTGTGCGTCGCGTCTGATTCGCCTTATCAAGGCGGCCCCGGCGGCGCACGCGATGTGCTTTATCAAGGCCGGCTTGATTCCGCCGCGACGCGGGAAAGTTCGCCATCTGTGCCCCGCAGTCGGGCAACTGAGCTGGGGAGCCGCCAGGGTGCCCACGGAGTACAGCGTAAACAAAGAAATTTTCCTTAGTTTTGGTTTTTCGTAATATACTCTGTCGGGAAGAGTATCTCTTTGCGCTTGCCCTCAGCTTGGCGCTTACCCAACCTGTGGAATAGGCCAAGGATACGCCTGCAATCAGATGACGGTATTGTAGGATATCCGAGAATATCCTCGGAGATGCAGGGCTCTAAGAATAAGACGTAACCGAAACCGAATAACCGAAACCGAAACCAACATGCAACTTTACTAATTCGCTTCTTGTTGGGACGTCAGATGTTGTGTAAGCATCAGCCCACGGGCAGCTTGAGGCTTTTTCGTCCGGCGTCAGAAGCAATCAGAAGGCCGTCGCGATTGTCCGTGGGAAATAATAAACTACGATTCATCAAGCTGATCTTAGTCGAGCAATGACCAGAAAATGTTTTATCATTTTCAGCACGAGATTTCAGACGATTTGCATTTCCCTTTCGATCCACCTGTATCGTCTTCCGGGAAACCTTCCCCCGGGGCCTTCTTGAAGTCTACATGTTGGCGGACTCGCAATCCGCCTACAAGTATCGACCCAGATGCCACGTCGAAGAAGAATGGCATAGAAGGATTTATTTGCTAGCCAGGTGGGAACTGTTTTCTATCACGACGCGAACTCTAGGACTCAGTGTTCGCGTCAGACTGCTCGGCCCCACTTCGGTCGCAAAGACCTCTTGGTCGGAAGCCGATAGGGTGTCACTCTCTTGTATTCCTTCGTGGTGTTTGCACACCCCACAGCCCGTCACGGGTTCCCCCCACCCTCCACCGCATGCCGCGAACAGCCTAATCCAGAACCATATTCGCAAACTCACACACGTTCACTATCACTGCAACGGACAACGCCGTTGTGTAGCTAGGGAGCGTCGTCTGCTATTGGATGCCACATTTAACGTCAGGAGCACCCCTGCTCGTTGTTGCCAGTGTAGCGGGAGAAGGTGATTCGAAGGTGTACGCGCACTTTAAAAATCGTTTTCTGTAAATAATACATATATGTATATATTTTTATTTTTATCCAATATTTCGTAGACATTCATGGGTGTATATTTGGTAAGCGGCGAAAATTGGATAAAAACAAATGACTATCAATATTTCGCCGGAGCTCCCCTTTAAGAACTGCATATACTAAGTCGTTCTTGGGTACATGGACAAGGGGGCTCAAATATGTAGTCGTGAAGATGCGCCTACGACGCCTTCTGCAGATTTTTTTTACTTCTTTGGCGAACGGGTGAAAGTAAGCAATTATGGCAACCCCGCGACTCTAAATTCCCATAGAAATTGAGTTATTTATTATTCACAAATTTGTGCTCGAGGAAATTTGAGATCCTGCGTGATGTATCAGCGATTTCGTATCCTACACTGGCGTTGTCATGTATCAGCAGGTAACACCTTTTGGCGGGCTAGTTGGTTCATGATTTTAGAAATAAATGAACTGCGCAAAGGACGAGGACAGAGGTAGAAACGAGTACGACACACGGAGCGCAGACTTCCAACTGTTTATTTGGCGCAGACACAACAGTATATATGACAGCAGCAATCAGTTTGCGGTTAAATAAGGTTTAAACATGACCGTCCAAAAAAGAGAATTCCTTGTCTGATAGTGAAACAGATTGCATGCTTATGCAGTCGTGACCTTTCTTTTTAATGAAGTAGGCTTCTACGAGTTTTCTTTCCGTTGCCTCATTCGCTCTTGCGAGAACACGTGTCCTTTGCAAATCTGGATGACATCCGCATTTCAAACAATGCACAGACAGATGTCCGCCTGTGTTGTTTTTTATCGACAGAAAGTGTTCTCGTGCCCTCAGGTTGAAACAACGTCCAGTCTCGCCAATGTATACTAGCCCGCAAGAAAGCGGAATTTCATAGATAACACCGGATGCGCATTCCGTGTAGCGCGTGCTGTGCTCCTTTTCGCATCTGTTGATGTTCACTCTTGGCTTGTCTGATGTCCGTCTGGGAGTGTACAATGGTACTGCTATTGGCGTAAAGGGAGTTGCGCAGGTAAAAGTTGGCTATGGAAATCAAATCTATCACTTGCCACTCGTAGTTTCTAGACAAGAAAACGGTGCTAGTATGCCGGCTCTTCTGGGGCGTGACTGGCTCGCGAAAATTAAGATAGACCTGCATGACGCTGTGCAGAATCGACGCGAAGTTGTGCTTAACGTACAAGCGGTAAAAAACACGGAAACAGAGAAGGCAGAAAATGCCTAAAAGAGCAGTATGCTGACATGTTTGAACCCGGGTATGGAGCTATCAAGCGCTTCAAAGGTAGCCTTAGGTTAAAAGCCGACGCAAATCCCGTTTTTTGTAAGGCGAGACCCGTTCCATATGCTTTGCGCGAGCAGGTGGAAAAAGAATTGGCAGACTTAGAAAAAGCCGGTGTCATTTACCGGGTCAAGCACAGTACGTGGGCCACGCCTGTAGTGATCGTGCCGAAAAGTGGTGGCAAAGAAATAAGGATATGTGGGGACTACAGAGTAACGGTGAACCAGGCCATTGAAGTGGACCACCATCCTTTACCACTTCCTGAGGACGTCTTTACGACCCTGGCTGGTGGAACCGTGTTTACAGTTTTGGAACTCTCTAGGGCCTAGCTACAGATCGAGTTGGACGAGCGAGCGCAAGAGCTGCTCACGGTAAACACGCATATGGGCTTTTTTAGGTTCCAGCGGTTATCATCTGGCGTAGCAAGTGCACCCGCCATGTTCCAAGCCTTGATGGAACAGGTTTCGCAAGGCATTCCTGGTGCTGCCTGTTACTTGGACGACGTGCTGATTGCTGGCGTAGACCAAGCAGAGTGCTACAGTCGCACACAGCAAGTGTTAAAGACACGGAGTAAACACGGCATCACTGTGAACGTAACGAAATGCAATTTTTTTTCAAGAACGAGCTCGGTAACTGGGACACGAGCTAGATAACCAGGGTCTACATCCTACAGCAGACAAGGTGAAGGCCATTTGAGATGCGCCAAAACCCAGTAATGTGACACAGCTGAAAGCATTTTTAAGCCTCGTAAAAATCTACGCAAAAATATTTTCCAAATCTCGCAAATTTCCTAGAGCCTCTCCCCCAGCTACTACGCAAGGGCAACGTATGGAACTGGTTAAGCCAGTGTGACGTGTGTTTTATACGTTGTAAGGAGCTGCTCAGCCGCGACATGGTTCTAGAGTTGTATGATGTGGAAAAAGAAATACAGCTGACGTGTGACGCCTCGGCGTATGGTTTAGGTGCGGTTTTGTCGCACGTGGTCGATGGCGTAGAAAAACCGATAGCGTTTGCGTCACGATCTATGACTCCAGCAGAGCGTAACTCTGCGCACATTGAATAGGCTGCGCTGGCCGTCGTCTTTGGAATAAAAAAAATTCCATAAGTATCTGTATGGACGCACCTTCACCGTAGTAACAGATCATCAGCCACTTGCGATGATCTTTGGAGCAAAACAACATACCAGTGCAGTAGCAGCCGCTAGAGTGCACCGTTGGGTCACATTACTGTCAAACTATCAGTTCCACATTCGGCACAAAGCTGGAAAAATAATTACCAACGCCGATGGCTTGTCCCGCGTTCCGTTGTCTGAAACCGCCGATGACAACGAGGAAATGTTTTACTTTTCAACTGTTAGTGAACTGCTGATAACCGCCCAAGTTACTGAACGAGAAACCGCGAAAGACGCGATCTTGAGTGCAGTGCGCAAAATGACGTGGCACGGTTGGCCGCGATCTGTTAACGAACGGCTGCAGCCTTTCTTTGTTAGGCGCTTTGAACTTTCTGTGGATGACGGTTGCTTAATTTGGGCCAATAGAGTGGTGGTACCACAGCCTTTGCAAAAGGAAGTTGTGTCTCTTTGCTGCATGAACAGCATATTGGTACTACCAAAATGAAGGCACTAGCGAGGTCTATGTTCTGATGGCCAGGGATTGACAGCTGTCTTGAACAGATTGTGAGGCAGTGTGACATTTGTCAAAGTGTTAGATCAGTGGGGCAGCCAGCTCCCTTGACCCATTGGAGGTGGTGCACGAACAATTGGGAGGAAGTCGATCTCGACTTTGCTCAAAAAGAGCACAACATGTTACTTGTGGCTGTAGATTCCTACTCGAAATGGGCAGAGGTAACGATCATGAGCTCTACCACGGCCGAAAAGACGGTGGAAACAATGCGGTCATTTTTTGCAAGTCATGGTTTACCATGTGAGGTAGTAACAGATAATGGGGCCGCAATACCGAGCAAAGGAATTGGAAGATTTTTTGTGATCTAACGGTGTTAAGCACACCCTCACGCCGCCGTATCATCCGCAGTCTAATGGTTCAGCAGAACGCGCGGTACAAACTGTAAAGCAGTCGCTGCTGAAGCAGTTGTTGGAGGATAAAAGAAACAAAACTTCCAGGACCCTTCAACAAAAAGTTCATAACTTTCTTTTTGGGCACCGAACGACTCCACATCACTTTACTGGGAAAACACCAGCAAAATTATTTTTGAAGCGCAAGTTGCGCACAAGGTTATTCATCTTGAAACCAAGTCTTCAAGACAAAGTTGTGGCCAAAGCGGAGAGGGAGGTGTGTCAAGCAAATAAGCGTCGTGCCCTGCCACGTGTGTTTTGCGTTGCTGATTCTGTGCTTGTACGTACTGTCCGTGGTGAGATTGTGAAGTGGCGCCCAGGAAAAATTGTTAAAGTCCGCAATGACGTACTTGGTAATGGTTGACAAACAAAATCATTTTGTACACGCAGACCACCTGCAGCATTCCTCACTAAAACCTGAGCATGACGATGAAGCACGTAGTGACACTGAGTTGCCACATGCCAGTGATATGTGTGAGACTGGACGTCATGTTGCATTTTCTGAAAGAGCTCCATCGCTAGGACCATGTGATGACGCGCCGGTGCCTAGGCGAAGCACGCGTGTGACCCGGAAGCCGGAACGGTTGATGTGTGATAAACTGTAGAACTGTGGGAGGGGGGGGGGGAAGTGTTGTATCAGCGATTTTGTATTCTACGCTGGCCTTGTCATGTATCAGCATTGCGGAGCGCACGTTATCGCCTGCCGTGATAACCAGCGCCGCCTTGTAATCTTTTATTCGTTTTTTACTTATATAAGATATACGCCAACTGTACGTACAGCAGATGCTGTCTGCAATGAACGTGTTAAAACAGACTGCGTTGGCCTACGTAACACTCCGAAAGGAGGCTAACATATGATTTGAAACCGCTTAAAATCAAAACAGCCTGCGAAACGGTCATCCTTCTTTTTTTAAGTAGACGACTAAGAAGATTGTTAGTTTTAGCAGTAAACCCGCTAAATGGGCAACACTGCTTAGACACTCTATAACCGCCACCGGAGGGCGCCACGATACCTTTAAAGCTTAGGCGCAGGAGATCAATTGCGGCGCATTCTCTGTGCATAATTGTTTTTTTTTTGGTTACAAAGAAACACTTAAGAACGATTATTGCCTTGACGATGCACTTTCGGAACTGCTTGATTGGCTACCTATAGGGTCATAGCGTAGGCTGTGGTGGGACTCGAATTGAAACGGACTACACTGCGCTGCGTGATACGGATTTCCCTCGAAGAGAACCTTGAGTCTCTCTGGCGATAACAACACACTTCTCAAATGCAAAAATAGTCCAAAAGCCGGGCGATGTCATGGTTAAAATAAGAACACCGACTTCACATAACAAGAAAAACAACTTCATTAAACGTTTCGCCTCCCATGCGGGAGGCATCATCAGTACATACACCCTAAAACCTGTAGGTATTCGAACTGTGTATAAACCGTACCGAACTATAGCAAGCATTGTGTCTAAGCCAAAGGACCCCACCCCTGCGGAAGGCATTGTGTACAAGATCCCCTGCCAGTACTGCGGCTCTTCGTACATTGGGGAGACCGGACGCAAGAAGATAACCAGGATGAAAGAACACCAACGTGAAGTCAAGTATTCCACGAACGCCACCCGTCTCAAGACGGAGCTGGTCGACCGCGCGCGCACTAGGGTGCCTTCATAGCGGACATGAAGGCTCCCTAGCGCGGACCACAGGACACACCTTTGACTTCACAGCGGCGACGACCTTGGCGAAGGAGGATAGGTGGGGCCCACGCAAACTACTTGAGTCATGGTTCATCCGCGGAGATAAGACGGCGTGCAACAAGAACCGTGGCCCCCTCCCGGAAGCTTATATGGACCTTCCCGATAAATAGGACTGCGTTGACCGAAGCTCTCTCATTCCTGTGTATGTACTGATGATGCCTCCCGCATGGGAGGCGAAACGTTTAATGAAGTTGTTTTTCTTATTATGTGAAGTCGGTGTTCTTATTTTAATCACACTTCTCAAATCTCTGCAGAGTCTGCTCCGGTAGAAAGTGCACACAGCGTAGAATATAAAGCTTTAAAGGCTCATAGTGTTCTTTAAAAAAAAAATACTAAGAACTAAACAAGGCTTAAGAAAGAGAATTACGCAAGTGCAAAACATCGGTAAAAGAAAGAAGAAATAAAAATATTTTTTTTTTTTACGCAGATTGTTTACTGTATTTATTCGAAGGGCAGGACAATGCCCCCCGATTCGAGTGTAATGGCACGGTTTCCAGGTGCAGTCTTGGTCTCCTCCCGCCTGCTTCCAAATCTACCATTGGCGAGAAAATTCTCACGGAACCGCCCGTTGCGAGGAACACGCCTACAACCTGGGATGTAAATAAGCCAGTAAACTTTCCGCACCTCAGACGAGCAATCGCCCCATCAAGTTCCTTGAAGCAAGAAAGCATTACGTAAGTTCTCTTCGAAATCGCTACGCTTTTGTATTAGTTTTTTTCGCAATGCAGTGCTCTTTAGAGGCCCCAGGAGTTCAATGTGTGCTCGTGAAATGGAATTTATATTAGTACCGTTCGTTTCAATACCAGTCTGTTGTAGGTGGATATTTTTAGCTACGTTTTACCGCTGTTCCTGCCGTTTTGGGTAATATTCGTTTCCAACAATATATATATAAAACCAATTTCGTCTCCAAATCAGTCTTGGGTAAGTTACTTTCAAAAAGTAATTCGGTACAGTTAAAGTTACGTCTAGAAATAAAGTAGCGAAGTTAACGTAATGAAGCTTAATTTCAATGGTGTGTCTCGCAGTTGTAAGTGGCAACGGTGACAACGGGTAACCCAGCGCAAAACAAATTTCGCGTTTCTCCCTTTCTCATTTAAACCGTTCTCAAAACAAGCTTTCGGGTTTTGACCCTTCTCAAAACGACTTTTCTCATTTTAACCTTTCTCATTTCAAAATTTCTCAAAACATACTTTCTGGTTTTGACCATTGTCAGAAAGACTTTTCTCATTTTAACCTGTCTCATTTCGAACCCAAACTAATCCAACATCATGATCTCGCAATCTTTCTGCGGTATTTATGACGAATTCGGGTAATTAATTCGCCTTCGAGCCCTTGCCTGTGGCACCGGCGACCAAAAACGTGCCAGCGGCGCATAACGTGACCCTCTCCACCCGAATGCAAAACACAATGAACTGGCGTTTTTATTTGACTGGGTCGCCAGTGAGCTCTGTTGACTTCTTCTTCGACCATTCTATGGTACCTTGAGCACGCTGCATACGCCAACAACATATA